TGTGCCAAAAATGACACACCTAAACCAAAATACAGGCACCCAAATGTGCCCAGGGACGAGGGATGATTTTGTTCCATCCCTGTGTCTTTATGTGCACTAAATCAAGCCCAAAAGGCAATGTCTTATTAATAGAAGGCACTGAAAGATCTTTGAGAGCTGCTGACAATCCCCCTTCAGCACAGGTAAAGAAACAACCTATTGTTTGTTAAAGAAACAACCTATGAGTTGTCTTTAAAGATCACTGAGCCTAAAAGAAGCTTAAAGCATTCTAAGTTCCACCTGCAGCTTTCAAAACCTCCTTGAATTGCCCAAGAGACAGACCCACTTCAATTTCTCTCACTTAGATATTAGTTAACGGATTCTTTTCATTAAAAGCCCCACTAGTCTGAGCTTCCCTGTTCTCCAAAATTCTCTTTTTCAATAAAGCACAAATGTTGTACAAACAGGAACAGGGGTTCAGGATTAGGTGGTGAAGACACGAAGTCCATCCAGGCACAAAGAGGTACCGAGATAACAACAGAGGAAATAAGAACTCAAAAAAGTTCATGTTCTTGAAGCAAACAATCAAAACGGTTTTTAGCAATAATCTCTCTTCAAGAAGAAGAAGGTTTTACCAGAGAAAAGATGAGTAAAAGGGGTGGAGGGTTTTTTGTGTGTACACAGACACAATGCTGAGACTTTCTTCTGGGGTAACAGGGATAATTCCTGCTCTGGTATTTTCACAAGAGCTAGATGTAAAGATTAAACCCACAATTTGTAGTGCTGCAAGAAGCAGACTAACCTATTGTAAGACTAAAAACATGTCAAATATTAAGCCTTACTGAAGAAATTGGTATTGCACAGTATTTGGATGCTGGGGAAATATAAGAAAACAGAGAAAAAGAGATAAATTATGTGACATGACAAATGATATTACAGCAAAATTTCCAGTAGTTAAAGACAAAAGTGGGCGGAAAAGGAGATAAATTGATTGCTACACTAAAAGGTAAAAAAAAAAAGATAAAAAGCTAGAACTAGCATTAAGATATAATATTGTGATTATATTTATATATATGCTTGGATTAGTTTTAGATCTGTCTCAAATGTAAATTCTTTTGATATGCAGGGAAAGATAAAAGTTCTAGATTATTATCCCCACTGTCCAAACATAACTTTGTCAGAACACATGTAACATGCAATTGTATGGGGATAACCTTTATTTGATGGATATCATATACAGCCACTGTAATAACAGGTAACAGGCTATGGCTTCAGTGCTACAGATTTAAATGGGACACAGAAGAAAACGATTTTCAGTACATTGTATCACATCAAAGTACCTGCTGTCTAAGTTGTTATTATAAAAAAAGAAAAATATTCAGTAGATGATTTAGAAAGTCCAGTTCAGATCTGCCTGTGACTCAATAAACTACAGGTTAATATTTGCAAACCAAGGCTGCTGTGTGCTGAAATTTGCTATGTGATACCCTTGGACCCAGCAATCTGCCTCTACAACCACAACTCCCAGTGCTGAGTTCCTTGGGCAGAGAAACTTAACCCCTCCTTTATTTCCTTCCCTCGTTATCCCAGGGATCACCCAGCTTTGAGTTCTTCAAAGGCAGCAAAGAGCACAGCACCCAGGGAACCTAAACGCTCATTCTGCCAGGTAAATCCTGCACTGTCTCCAGAGCTCACACTCACATGGATTCTCCTGGGCATCCATGTTCTGGGTGATCACACTGTCACTACAGATCCAGGTCCTGCATTATGGTCTTTCAAGAACGACCCCACTCATCATTCCCTGACAGCCTTTTACACAGGCAAGAACTAACACACCCATGGGAGGTGACGGGGCTCAACCAGAGGGTCCATCTGGCACACGGAGGGCTGAGGATGTGGGATGCTGCTTCAAGAACCCCAGCTCTTCCAGGAAATTTCGTCCATGAATTTTTATGTGTCTCTCAGTGTGTGCTCTCCCCAGAATTCTGCACATCACTCTTCTGCTTCAGTCAGCAGCTCTCAGCAGCAGCTACAGCGAATGCAACTTTTATCTGACCCGCTACTCCTTCGAGTAACCACGTATTGCAGAATTCAATATGGAAACCTTAAGGAGAGGAGAGGTAAAATCGCCAGCAGGGACCAGGCTCACTGATAAATGTGAAGAATACTCCTTGTGTTTTTCTGTAGGTCTTACTCTAATCATTCCTGTTTTCCATGCACCTGCTCAATAGCCGGGTTCTACATCGTGACAGAGAGTTCCACAAAAAAAAAACAACACAAAAAGCAGCCATGCAATGTTTCTCTTAAGCACAATAGTCTTTTTGTCTGTCTTGCTAATTCAAGTGCCCAGTATTTCTGATGCTTTGGTGATGTCTCTTCTCTACATGTGGCTGGATGTCGGCAGTGGGAAATCTCATGGCAGCTGGAATGATTTGTTAGGAGCTGTCACTTGACCTCCCTTGGCTGATCTGAGCTACATTCATTTACATTATGTCAGTTTTTAGTAAACAGTGGTAACAAATTCAGTTTTCTTCCTTTTCTTTGACACAGTGATAAAAGATAAGGGTAATTTCAAAAATAGGTTAATAACCTGAAGAAAAGAAATAAATGCCTAACCAGTGGGCAGAGCCTCCTTCAGGATCACAAAAAAAAAATAAGTTCATACAGCTCCTCCAGATTTTCAGATTTCTTTAAGGCATTCTGGCAGATCTCTTAGCAACAGTCCAGCAATCCATGTCTTCTGTCTTAGGTGAAAGTAATCTGGACTAGGTAAATAATCTCATTTGTTTCTTAAATGGACACACTTTAAGCATAGACATACAAAGAGCTGAATGAGTCCTTAGGTTCAAATTTACAAGAGATGTATTTGCAGCTTTGCTGCTGGTGAAGGGGAGAAATGCAATTTTTCATAATCAGGCTTATTTACTATTTGTGGTCTTACACATGCACTATAGCTCATGCTCATTTTAGTCAAATGCCTGGAGAAACATTTAGCTGACATTCAATTAGCAATATAATGCACTGTGATAAAGCAGCAGGTAATTTACCATGTTCTATTTGGGAACATTCCTTGTTTCCATTAATATTCACAACAGACCAGCCAGCTCCAACAAAGGAAGGCACTGCCCCTACCTAGAAGAACCAGCAATCCAAAACATATGGAGTACAGAAATGTGGGCAAGAAACAGAAGGTCTGTAGGTAACAGTTCCCTAACATCACACGGCTCCCTTTAACAGGGTGGGAAAGACAATAACAGTACCTAGAAAAGGAATTCGATGCAACCTGGAAGCCTATTAAAGACACAAACTAATTATTGGTGCAAGTTTGCCTTGCACCAATAATTTTCATCTCACCATAAAAGGGAGGTCAGCCTGGCATGATCTCTGTTTACACATGATGATGTGAGGTTAAAATAAGTCAAAGTGTTTCTGTGTTCTACTGACTGTGACTTCCCACAGTTATATGGCTGTACCAAGGATGTGCCACGATGCATCTGGTCACATTTAAATTCATATTCAAATGAGTTCTTGCCTAAGAAATGTTTTTCCTTGCTTCAATCTCTCCCCTGGACTCTGCTGTTGTGCCTTGATAAAAGGAATTCAGCTCCCTTCCTCACTTATTCATTGTAAACATAAATATAGATTCTGACTATATTTTTATACAGGAAGAGAGAAGAAAAAGACTAAAAACTATTCCTCTGCTTGTGGCCTAATACATACACTGCACTACTAACATCATTTCCAATGGGTTGAGGGGAAATAATTTTGGCAAGTTCCCTCCAAGCCTAAAACCGTCAAGAAAAGGTAAAAACGTGGGAGGACTCATCCCCCTCCCCTCCTGGTTGCCTGTGAGTTTCCGTAGAAGCCTGGGAAGCAGATGGATGCCACAAGAAGTGCAAAGGATGCCTGGAACGACAGCACGTCAGTGGGATTTGCACAGTCTCAAAACAGCAAAATCCCTTCACAACTCCCACTCCACAGGGATCCTCCACCACTGGGATTTACGGGACTTCAGGCTCAGGATGGTGGCAGCTTGTTCCATCCAAAAGAAACAGCAGAAGGTGCTGCCAGCACAGCAAAAAAACTTGAGGTTGGTAAGATGAGCAATACAAGTGAAATACAAGGGGGAAAAGAAAGTGCAGAGGGGGCCAAACATGGACATTTGGTGCAGGGAACCACAGAATCAATTAGGTTGGAAAAGACCCCTGAGATGATCAAGTCCAACCTACAACCCATCACCACTGTGTCAACCAGACCATGGCACTCAGTGCCACATCCAGTCTTTCCTTAAACACCTCTGGGAATGGTGAATCCACCACCTCCCTGGGCAGCCCATTCCAGTCCCTAATCACCCTTTCACGTGAAGATATTCCTCCTAATGTCCAACCTGAACCCCCGCTGCTGCAGCCTGACACTACGTCCTCTTGTCCTTCTGGTTGCCTGGGAGAAGAGGCCGACCCTCACCTGGCTCTCAGGTAGGGCTGCCCAACACCCAGGTCAGGGAGTCATAAGCAAAGTTTTCATAGTTGAACAGAACAGGAGAACTGAAGCTCTTGACGGCACATCCATGAAGCACCGATATTCCCCCTGCGAAGCACCTGAAGCAGCGCAAGAGACCATCGCAGGAATGATTCCCACCGCATCCTCTCCCAGTTCTTTGTTCCATTCCCGGCGGCCGCAGCCGCCAGCGCTGTCCCTCGGCCACTGGGATGCGCCCGTGGAGCCTCGTTGCTGACACACAATCACGGAATGGTTTGGGTTGGAAGGGATCTTAAAGATCATTTACTTCCAACCCCCCTGCCGTGGGCAGGGACACCTTTCACTATCCCAGGTTGCTCCAAGCCCCGTCCAACCCGACCTTGGACACCTCCAGGGATGGAGCAGCCACAGCTTCTCCGGGCAACCTGTGCCAGGGCCTCCCCACCCTCACAGGGAAGAATTTCTTCCAAATATCCAATCTAACCCTCCTCTCTTTCAATTTGGAGCCGTTCCCCTTGTCCTGTCGCCGCACGCTGTTGCAAATGGTCCCTCTCCATCTTTTCCTGCGCCTCCCCGCCGCCCCTCGCTCTCCCCCCGCACATCGCGCATCGCCCCTCGCCGGGGCCGCTTCCCGCGGTCCCACAGCGCCCGTGCTCCGCTGCTCAGCACCCCCCCAGCCGCCGCAGCCCTCCCGTTTCCATACTCACGGCCCCGGCGCCGGGATCGGGAGCGGGTCCCTCTCTCCCTCGCTCCCTCGCTGGGCGGCAGCGCCCGGCGGCGCAGGCGCGCTGCTGCCGCCTCCTCCCCCCGCGGCGGTGGCGGGGCGGCCGCGGCTCCGCTCAGAGCCGGGCGAGCGCGGCTCGGGCCGGGGCGGGACGAGGGAGCGACGGACGGGGCGAGGGAGGCGGGGACCGCGCTCGGGAGCCGCGCCGCACACCCGGCCCGTCAGTGACCGGCGCTGCTGGGGAGGAGGAGGAGGAGGAGGAGGTGGTGGTGGAGGAGGCGGCGGCGGCGGCGAGAGATTCTCCCACCCCCACCCACCGAGCTGAGGTGAGGCCAGGGCAAAGCATCCTCCTTTCTTCCCCTCATCCCTTCCTCGCTTTCATCCTTCCTCCCCCCCTCCCGACCTCCTTCCTCTCATCCTTCTTTCCTTATCCTCCTTCCCCCTTATCTCGCCTTCCCCTCATCCTTCCCTGCGCTTCCTGGTCCTCCTTTCCTTTCTTCTCTCCTTAGCCACCTTTCTCCACTCCTCCCCATCCCCCAGGCTCCCTCTCCCCGTGCCCACATTTCGCACCCTCCAGATATAATAATCCTGCCTTTCCCCCCCCCCCCCCCCCCCCCCCCGCTTTTCCTTTTTTTAAACGCAATTTTAATTCTCGCTCAGTGGAAGAGGGAGAGGGAAAGAGACGGAGTCGGTCACAGAGATAATCCCCCCTCCTGTAAAGAATGGATTTGAATTAATGGTCATTTTGTGGTGTCTGTATTATGGGAAGAGGGGGATTATATTTAGGGAAGAAAAGAGAGGGTCAAAGGTGTGTTGCTTCACTTATTCATCTATTTACCCACCATCACTTCGAGGTGAAACCTGGCTCCGTATTATCTCAAGTCTTTTTTTATTTTTTGGTATTGTTTAAAATTATCCTCCTTTCTTCAGGCGTCAGAGGTTTCTTCCTCCCTTTTATCCATCCCCCGTGCGTCCCTGTGATTTACGGTCGCTGCTGCTCCGATTGTGTGACCGGGAGCCGGCGGGGAAGGGGCGCGGGGGGCGGTGGGGAGGGGGCTGCGGGCGCCTCCTCCATCCATCCATCCCTTCCCCGCAGGCCTCTTCCAGGGGCTAAGACCTTCCCAACCACCCGCTGCCCATCCCACCCGGAATCCATCCTGAGCGGTGCCAGCTCCCACCAAAGGATGTGCTCCGGTGGCAAGGAGTGAAAGTTTAAAGCGTGGCTTTGTCTCTCCGTGGATGGCGAGGAGCTGCGTGGATGTCGGCGATGGCCAAAGTGTCTCTTGGCGTGGCTTCTGGAGTGGAAGAAGTTTTGCTCAGACATGGTGGTGGTGGGGATCTGGGGCTTTCCCTGGCTGCCGTGCCCACTTGGGAATTGGCGTTGTGGATGCATGTGCTTAGGGGAGCGTCCACACGCGGGGGGTTTGGGAGAGAAACTTTTCCATCTTTACGATGGGGGTGCAGCGTGAGGAGAAGGCAGCAGGCACTTGCCTCTCTGCAGGCTGGAGGGGTGAATGCACTCCCTCGTGTGTGATGCCTGGCTTCTTTTTAGGTGATGCTCTGTCAGTTGGTGGTTGTATTTCTCTCCCGTGCAATGGCAGAGCATTTATTTCATTGTGAGCGTGTTTCGGACAATTTCAGCCTTTTTGAGCTTCCGTTTGCTGAATTCGAAGTTAGTTTGTGCTTTGCCAGGATAGATGTGTTTCACCCCCCCCGTTATTTTAGAAATCTATAGATACCACAGCAGCCAATGCTACAGCAAAACGATGAGCCTGAATATTTAACAAGAATGCTATATATCATCTTGGCATGTATCCCCAAAAAATGTTAATTCTGTGAACTTGTCCAGATTGCAGTGAATGCTGTGTGTTTGGGAGTATGAGGTAGATAAGGAGCATAAATAGGGGCAGCTCAAATGATGCTGCTGATGCAAACACCAGATTTTCCTGGCTCTGTGGCTGTTACAATGCTGCTGGTTTTCCTCTTTACCTGTAGTGCCTGTGATTGATATAATGCATCATATCAGGCTTTTTATACTCCGGGTCAAACAGAATTCTTTCTGGAGGAGAAAAAGTACTGACCTGAAGGGTGAAGTTCTGCACTCAATTGTGTAAATGCTTGTTTACAGAAATACCACCTCAGCTGGGTACAAGAAAGCTGTAATTCCATTAATGGGCTCTGCTGATGACAGAAACCTCCACAGGAAAGCTCCAGTGTCACTTGAGCCCTCACATGGAAATACAACTGTAATTCATGCAGATTTTCTGAAAGCTCTTTTAATATTAATGTTGAGCGTGCATGGTACAACCGAAATGCATTTGAAGCCCTGAAAACCAAGAGTATTTGTAGACTGAGTCTTTAAAGCCAGAGGAAGCAATTAGATCTTCTGCTCTGACCCCTTGACTGTTGTAGTCAGTTGGATTTTATCCAGTTACTTTTAAATGCAATAACTTGCATTTGGCTGAAACATGTTTTCCAGAAAAATTGGAGTTTTGATCGGAAGACTGTAAGAGGTGGAGAATCTGCTGTTTATTAAGTTATTTGGCTTCAGCTTCCAGTCACTGGCTACTGATGTGCCTTTCTCCACTATGCTAAAGAACTCCAAGTATTTTCTTACCATGGAAGTATTTATCAGCTGTAACCCAGTATTCCCTCTCTTCTCTACTTGAAAAGCAAGTGAACTAAAATTCTTTAAATTTGTCACTGCATGCATTTTCCTCAAAACTCAGTTTCTGGGGATTTTTTTTTTTTTTCCAGAGCCACTTTTTCAGCATTTTTGTGAAAAGAGGAGCGTGCCAACACCTTGTCTCAGGAGTGTTTTGTGAGTTTAAATACTACCCCTCCAGTGTTACTCTGCTGTTTCTACATCACATATACATATTCAACCTTCATTTGCAGCCCTGCATTTTGATGTCCTTTTCTCTGGGTACTCTCACTGTGGCAAACCCTTTGCAGGACTGATTCTTTCCACAAGAGTTCACCATTCCATAGACTGGCATGTTTCTTAATAGTGGCTTTATAACTTTGTAGCTGGCTTTTTTTATATAATGTTTTGTTTCTAGAGTTAATCGAATATACCCACCACTCCTGATGGCTTTTTGTAACTGATTTATCTCTGTCAATTTACACTTGTGCAAATCATGTCACTATTGATCGTGTGGGCTTGCAAATGAAAAGGTGTTTTGTGATAGTGGCTCCACCTTTGGGGAACTCCATGTTACTCTGAGTTATGTTGTGATGAGTTCTTCTCAAAAGCTGTTTGTTTTTTTTTTTTTTTCTTTTGAGATGTCACTTAACCAGTTCTTCACCAGTTTAATTGGTACTGTTTTGCTGTCAGGCTTTCATGGAATACTGCATCAAGTGCCAGAGAAGTTTATACACACAGACATGTATTTTTGCCAGTTGGAGGTATGAGTTGTATCAAAGAATAAAACCACATTCATTTTAGAAAATCAATTTTCATTATTTTGCTTCCCATTATTTGTTATAGAGCTCTGGTGTATTAGTACCCCATGTAATTTTTCTTACATTTTTGTTTTGTTCAGGACTGACATAGTTCTAACCTTCTTATAGCTGCAACCACTGTCTCACTGAGTCTTTTAGAGCATGGCTGTAACATAAGTGTTCATTCAGACTTCTGCAATTTCCCCGGGATTTTCAGAATTCCTAAAAATTCATGTCAGTGGGACAGACGTCTTGGACACTTCTGAGAGAGCTTTTCTATGGTGACCTTTGGTTTTGCTACCAAAAATGTTTATTGTAAAATAATGTTGTTTTAGCGTTGTACTTGTAGTGGGATGATAATTAATATTCTCATGAGGTACCAGCAAATCCTCCCACTTCCTTACAAATGCAGAATTACTTGTCGAATATATTTGCCCTTGTGCACTGTTAGTGTAGCTCAGAGTCCCTGTTTAACAGCACACCTGTGTGAGGGCTAAGATTTCTTTGTTCCCACAATTCCCCCTCCCCTTGTATTTTTCCTGTTGCCAAGAAATGTCATCATCCTCACCTATCAGTTTTTTACACCTACTGTTTCAAAAAGTTTGGAATTTGCTATCCCACAACACTTTTCTTCCTGTTACATATGACTTCTTACTTGTAATTGCAGCATTTATTGAAATCTGTTTTGTGGCTAAACTGTGGTAGTTATGACTATGCCTTCCAGGTATTACACGCTGTCTGAACACACGAGTATGAGATTCTTTGTTTTTTCTGTGTACAATGACAGAACCACAACATTTATTACATTTCAGATGAGTAGGCTTTCCTTTCAGTGTAGCATGTTTCAAGGCTTGGCTAAAGAAAGTGAAACTCTTTATTTATTTGCTCCATAGTTTGTCCATAGGTGGTACAAGGTGTAGGAATACTTTGAGTTTAGATATAATACTAAATGGTTGTGGAAAGATGAAGGGCAGTTATACAGAAATAATAACAGAATCACTGGTTTGGGTTGGACGGGACCTTAAAGACCATCCAGTTCCATGGGCAGGGGCACCTACCACTACCAAGACCCATCCAGCCTGGCCTTGGACACTTCCAGGGATCCAGGGGCAGCCACAGCTTCTCTGGGCAACCTGTGCCAGGGCCTCACCTCACAATAAAGGATAAGTAAATAAATAGTACAATATACAGCTGGAAATAAGAAGGGCAGCACACAGAAATAAAGAGTAACATCACTAACCTGATAGTGATTCCTGATAGGAATTACAGTGGCATGCTTAGGACATAACTTGATTGGAGTCTTTGTGGCTCAGGTTTCTGGGAATTGTTCCCTTAAAGCTGATTTGAGGTAAGATGCAAGAAGAAGATACAAAAAGAGCAGAATCAGAAGGGAGGGTGAAAGTGATGAAAAGGAAGTTGTGTTTCAGAGCCAATTCCTGACTGAGATAAACTTTTTATTTCCTATAAACACCACAACTGCTACACGTGTTAGGATACAGTGTGCCAACTGACCAGGGAGAATGTTCCACAGGCACAGCTTCCATCCCTGCAGGCTGCAGGAAGCAGAAGCAGCTGAGACTCGTTCCTTGTGGAGCTCCAGTATTGATGGGTGAGATCCTCCATGTGGATCAACAACACCTGGACCTGACTGGGACCAAACTGATTCTGAGTCTGGCATGCCTTGAGCAGTGGTGGAAACTAAAAAGACTGAAGTGTTTAAGAGTGCTGTAACAAAGCTGAAAAAATGACAACAAAGAACAGAAATTAGGTTTTGGTCTATTAAAAGAAGTGGCTGATAAGTAAGTTAACAACAGTGTACAGTTCTGCACCCCCAGTGTAAGGAGGACATGGACCTGTTGGAGCTTTCTCCAGACTTTTCCAGAGGAGGGCCAAGAAGTTGATAACGGGACTAAAGCATCTTCCCCGTGGAGACTGGCTGAGAACACTGGAGGTGTTCAACCTGGAGAGGAGAAGTTTGTGTGGAGACCTCACAGCACCTTCCAGTGCCCAAGGGGCCTATGGGGAAGCTGGAGAGGGACTCTTCATCAGGAACTGTAGAGATAGGACAAGGAGTAATGGGATTGAATTGGAAGAGAGGAAATTTATGTGAATATATGTAAGAAATTGTTCCCTGTGAGGGTGGTGAGGCCCTGGCACAGGTTGCCCAGAGAAGCTGTGGCTGCCCTATCCCTGGAAGTGTCCAAGACCAGGTTGGATGGGTCTTGGAGCAGCCTGGGCTAGTGGAAGGTGTCCCTGCCCATGGCAGGGGGGTGGAACTGGATGGTCTTTAAGGTTCCTTCCAACCCAGAGCATTCCATGATTCTGTTGTATGATTCTATATTATCCTTGTATTCCAGCTTCTTACTGTCTTACAGGAATTCATAATACATTTAAGTATATCTCAGAGTGATGAAACTATTGTGCGGAGTCTTTGGTTGGGCAGGCTCAGCACTCTAGAGATGTAAATGAATTTGGTATCAGGTTTCTGGATAAAAGCTCTACATCGCAGGTTTCTCAGCGTTTCCTCAACATCCTACATGAGCCTCTGAGAGAGCAGTGATGTCTGTTTGCAAACAGCGTTTGTATACAAACAGGCTTTCTTGAAAGTTTACAAACATTAGGGTGGGTTGGAGTCATATTTACATGACAAAAGATCGGCTGCTCGAGGACATTAAATTGTTGTTACCATCACTTACCAGTACAGTTGGTTCAAAGGCAGGGTTTTCATGCTCCTCGTGTTTAGAGTACTTTTTTATTTTGACATGGAACAAGCGGGTGAATCTTAAAATTCCCAGCAAAATCAAAATTCCTTCCCCTGGTGGAACTATCCGCGCTCCCCACCGTCCCCACCACATACATTTTATGTTTCAAATATCTTGTGCTGTCATCAGACAAAGCATTTTGGCTTCGTAGGGAGCAGGAGGGAAGCTTTTCCATAGTCTTTCCTCGGTTGTGTTAAGAAAGCACACCTTTCCTTAAAGTACTTTAACTGTGCTGAATCAGCGTTTTCTGATAGCAAGGTTTTTTGTTTTTTTTTTTCCCCCTTTGGAATATTTTTTGTCTAGCAGTGCTTTTCACCCCTTGCATTAGCATTCTGGTACAGAAAACAGGGGAGAAATGTTTTCAACATTGCTGCAGAGAACTGCCCAAGTTTTCAGGCTTCTTAAGTAATGAGAATTATTCAGTTAAGTGAAGCTGAATCCTGTAACAATAAGAACATCTCACAGGGTTTGCATTTGAGAGGTAAGAATAAATGCTAGATTTTGCAGTTATTCAAAAGAATTTCTGTGTTTAGAGTATTTGAAAGATATTTTTATAGATGTTCCAATCTGCTGTTATCTCTGGTGTTTTAAGTAATTATTATGTGACATTTCTTTCTCCTGTGGACTTGTCCTTTTCTTTGAAGCTGTGTATTTTAATAGCAAGCATATGTTACAATATGCTTAATGTAGACAAGAATATTAAAACAGAAGACAATTTGAATGTAAGTGGAGCTTGAATTCAGAACACCCTCTTCTGAGCAGAAAGTGGAAGTGGTTTCAGCCAGGGGAGGCTCCCACTTGCCCAGGTGACTTCTGCAAATGAGGCTTAAGCTTTTGAGTTACTTAAAGCTTCTAAATGGATTAATTACTTGGCCCTTGTCTACAACTAATCAACCTTAATTTTTAATACTCTGTTATTTACTAACAAAAGCCACTCCTCTGTATGCCATTGAATGTGCCTTTATGGAAATTCTCCATTAAAGCCCATTCAGCACAGCAGGGGCAGCTGAATCTCTCAGTTCTCTGAGTTGTGCTTATAAAGAAAGGGTCAGTTGGAAATATTCCTTATGTTTTAAATAAAAAGATTGTGTTCATCCTGTACAGAGCTGAGAAAACCACTTTTATCAGTTCTCTAAATCTTTTCAAACATCAAAAGTAACTCCAAGAGGCTTCTTCCTAGAGATTTAACTTTCAAGTTAGATTGTGGAGTAAAACACTAAAACAATGGAATAAAATTTTAGTAAGCATTGGATCTATTTCTATTGCAGTATCATTGTGTCAGGAGCAATAGTTGTGTCCTTTCCGGAGGAATCCCATTAACAAACATGAATAAAATCTTTCTAAAAGAGGCATAAAAATTATTTGCAAAGAAAACTCGCTCAAACACTCTGAGGCAGATGTTTTTATCTGATTAGATTTTTTTTTTCTCCTTTGCTGCCTCTAGAAAAGCATTTTGTTGTTTGCTTCTTGGTATAGTGAGATTTCCTCTTTCAAGCTGTTGTGTAAATTTGCATCAATTTGGAGACTTTTGTAAATAAATAGTTTTAGGTAAGTGAATGAATACAAATTGATAGAGAATGGGTGTGATGTTCTCTGTCATTAAAGACTAACTTTC